CCCTCCAGAGCTCTAAAGGCTACTGATCAGGCTCAGGGTTCTCCTAGCAGGTAGCTCACCAATTGCCAGCCGGGTGGGCTTCTTACGAGGTGGATCCCCAGTGCCTGCACTAGTGTCCTCTTCTTTCTGCAATGAAAAGAGGTTCAGAGGGCCGGGTGTGATGGCACATGACTTTGTCCTAGCATTCAGGAGGCACAGGAAGGAGCTACATGATTTCCAGGCAAGCCAAGGCTACACAGTAACACCCTCTCTCAAAAAGACAAAAACAAAACAAAGAAAAAAAGAGGGTCAGGAGCAGCAATGAGCCCTAGGGAGAGAACAAATGAGGAAGACGGAGGGAAAAGAATGGTTAACTGAACAACGGAATGAAGACAGGAAAACAACTGTGGCAAGTTTTTTTGTTTTGTTTTTTTTTTCTCCTGGTTTTTCGAGACAGGGTTTCTCTGTGTAGCTTTGGAGCCTATCCTGGCACTCGCTCTGCAGACCAGGCTGGCCTCGAACTCACAGAGATCCGCCTGCCTCTGCCTCCCCAGTGCTGGCATTAAAGGCGTGTGCCACCAAGGCCCGGCACTTGAAAGAATTTTGGTGAGTGTAAATGCCAGCATAGTAGAAAGACCCAAGCTGGATATATGGGGCAGATATGGCATGACACAATTATAGAAGACCAGAGAACCCTCGTTTGGTGGCTGTACCAGGGCTGGGATTAAAGGCATGCTCCACCAACGCCCGGCACCTGTGGCAAGTTTTAATGACACAAATGAGAGCAGGTGAAAGAAAAGCAAACCACAGTAGGGGAATCAGGTGTGCTGGCTAGTTTTATGTCCACTGGACGTATGATAGAGCTATCAGACAGGAGGAGGAGTTTCAGTTGAGAAAATGCCTCCTCCATAAGATCAGGCTGTATGCTGGGCAGTGGTGGCACCCAGCACTCAGGAGGCAGAGACAGGCAGATCTCTGTGCGTTGAAGGCTAGCCTGGTCTATATAGTGATTTCCAGAACAGGCTCCATAGCCACTGAGAAACCCTGTCTTGAAAAACAAAACAAACAAACAAAAAGATCAGGCTGTAGGCAAGCCAATAGGGCAGCAGTTCTCCACCTGTGGGTTCCAATCTCTTTGGTGATGGTGGGAGTCAATGACCCTTTCTCAGGGGTCACATATCAGATATCCTTCCTAACAGACATTTACAATTACAATTCAGAACTGTAGCAAAATTAGTTATGAAGTAGCAATGAAATTAATTTTATGTTTTGGGGTCACCACAATAGGAGGAACTGTATTAAAGGGTTGCAGTGTTAGAAAGGTTACGAACCACTGCTGTAGGGCATTTTCTTAATTAATGATTGATATGGGAAGGTCTAGCCTCTTGTGGGTGCCATTGCTAGGCTGGTAGCCCTGGGTTCTAGAAGAAAGCAGATTGAGCCAGCTGGTAAGCAGCACCTTCCATGGCCTCTGCATCAGTTCCTGCCCTACTTAAGTTCCTGTCCTGACTTCCTTCAATGATGGACTATTGTGTGCCAAATAACGTGTAAGCCTTTCCTCCCCAATTTGCTTTTGGTCATGGTGTCTCATCATAGCCATGATATCCCTAACTTAGAAGGGAAAAGAGATAGATATAAACAGGTATTTTGTGGAATGTGTCTGGGTGTTCCCAGCCCAACCCTAGCCACTATACCTACCAGTCGCCGGGTCCTCCGGAGATGAAGGTAGACCCGCTGGCCTGTTTTGTTGAAATGCCTCTCCACATACTGTTTTCCAAAGCCCAGGAATGTGTTCATGCAGATGTAGAGGCCACCCTCAGACTCCTGCGGGGCCCAACACAAGGGGAAGCATAAGAAGGATGAAGCTTGGACATGTGGGGAAACTGCTGGTTCCCTAGCACTGTGTGGCTCTTGGCTACTTATCTAGCCTTCTGAGACATGATATACGGCTGACGTTTTCCCCATTCCCTCTATGAATCTGAAAACAGCCAACAAACCCATGAGGTAGCTGAACAACGGCCCGGTCACCGACCCTGTGCTTGCTCATTCTTTCAGTACGCATGATGCTCACCAATCAACTAGAGGGTCCCTTTGCTGCCTCTTGGCTCAGGAGACCCAGAAAGTAAACAGGGCTGGCAGTGTCAAGTCAGCCCTGTTTTGGTGACATTGTCAGAGATCGGGTATGAATATCTTACATTTAGAAGAAAAAGAGCTCCTTCCTGGGAGAAAGAAAATCTACACTTTCAAACCAAAAACCAACCAGACAGACTTCCTAGACCAGGGAGACAAAGAATGCTGCACCAAGCAGCACACCTAACTCTGAGTTTGACAACAGTCAGACCTTTCCTTTGCCACACTCTCTACAAAACCCTGGCTTTAGAGGAAAATACCTTGCTTAGGACTCACAGCTAACCCTGAATGTAGATTAGTAAGGTCATAAAGTCCGTCATTTTACAGCCTCTAGCTCATCCCTCTCCCCTGTAAGACCCCAATGAAGCCCCATCAACCTGCAATTTCAAAGCTAGTCCTTTTTATTTACTTTTTTTTTTTTTTTTTTTTGAGACATGACCTCCTTGTGTAACCTAGGCTGGCCTGAAACTCACCATGTAGCCTAGGATGACCCAAACTTTTGTTCTGCTTCAGCCTCCCAGGGCTGGCTGAGGTTACAGGTGTGTTACCACCGCACCCGGCTGAGACAGCTTTAATGAACAAATCTGGCCACACTTGCTGAGACAGCTAGACTACATAAAACTTAAGAACAGGAAAGATAAATGCCCATCTTGAATCCTGAGGAGAGAATCGCAGGCTCCCTCAAGGCTGAGTCAGTCTGCCAGTGCCTTTTTAAGTGTGTGCCTTTGTAAGAGTGATAGAGAAAGTGGGAGAGGACACTGGAGAATAAAGAGTCTTGTCTCAGATCCAAGGCTTTGAGCAATAGGCATCCTTTTCCTAGAGTAAAAAAGTCTCAGTGGCCTTGAGAATTTCCCACTGTGACAGTAAAATTACAACACTATCCAAGACAGTTAGTGCACCAATACTTTGCACTGTACCACTCCCTAGAATAGTGTGGGCTGCAGTGTTCATGAATAAAGCATTTCTCACCATAAAGGTCAGCTACACTCTCTTTCTTCCAGAAAAAGAATCAAAAGATGATCTGATGTACTTGGGTTTGTTACCAAAACAAGTAGGCTACACAGGAGATTTCTTGCCTTAGAATGAAAAAACGGAAGGTGTTGGAAAAATTACAAAACAAACAAACAACCCCCCCCTAAAAAAAAACAATCAAAACCCCACCTTTTCTGGGTCATTTAAAGCAGTTACTAAGGAGAGACAAGAACAACTTTTAAGTTGCTTTAAGTGTAAAGAGAGACCCAGGGACGTCTACCTTTCCCTCCCGGGAGGCAGGTGGGCACTCTCAAGTTAACTCTTCAGATGAAAATAAAAGGTGCTGGCTTCAGCCCGGATTGAAAACCCTGGCGATCTAGGCCAGCAGTTTTCCTTTACTTCTACCAAGGCCAACTTGAGAGAAGCAGAGCATTATCTGGGGCTTAGATCAAAGCCCAGCAAAGCAAGAAAACCACAAATCACAGCACTGGTCCTGAAGTGGGCATCACATCATGCTACTATACTCAGCACTGGGGATGCACTAATGAAGCCTTTCCACTCTGACTTGCAGTTTTCAGGCCATGAGCTGGTCTGGCTGAACGCTCTGGGCAGGGCCCAACAGACGCTTGAGGGGAGGGGTGGTGAGGGGGGCGGATCCCGACCAAACTGCAGCCCTTTCAGTTAGGGCCCGGAGGCTTGTCTCCAGCTGAGGATGACACAGGAAGGCAGGAAGGGAGGTATGAGGTGGAGCCTGCAAAACGTGAAGCACGGAGTGGGTGGAGGCTTTGTCTAACTAGACAAGAGTGGGAGCAAGATGGTAAAGGGGCCTTAGCATCCTCCAAAGAAAGAAACCCACTCTAGGAATACTTGAAAAGGGGTTGTCTCGGCAACCTGTGAAGGACGAAGGAAAAGGGAGGGGGGCGCGGCCATAATTTACTTCAAAGAAGAAACGACTAGATCTTTCCACTGGGTGTTTTTCCTCCTCCCTACCAGTGACCCACCTCCCCATCCCTATCCAAATTAAACACGCGTGGAGGGTGTTTAACTCAGTGTTTCACCAAACTGGATTTCTTCACAGCCCTCTTCCAGACTAGACGCTGCAGGCCATAGCTTCCCAACCTCAATCCCTGCCCAGAACAGTGGGGAGTCGCCCCTAGTCCTCCCACATGAAACTACAAAACCCGGAGAGCCCTGCGCAACGTGCAAGGCCACCTCCAGGCTTTTTCTGGGTGTCGCCTGGGGGCTGTAGTCCGCCGATCAGGTTCCAACTCTATATTAGAATGGGAACAAGGGACGGGAGTAACTACAATGCCCATAATGCTTCACGAGACCAGGAATGAGCAAAACGAGAGCTGTAGCTTCCGGGAGTGGTAGTCATACCACAGCTCCAGATAATGAAAAGCAAAAGCAGAGAGTCGCGGGGAAAACTACAAGTCCCAGGGTGCATCGCGAGGAGGAGGTAGCCCGAGGCTTGCAGGCCTGGCCGAATGACCAGGGCGATGGAAGTCGTGGTGTCCACGGGCGTGGGGAATGGGCTTACCGGCGTGTCGAAGGAGAAAGCGCACTCGTCTTTGTGGACCCGGTCTCCCGCCTTGGGGACACGGATCGTCGGTAACACTGACAGCAGCGCCTCCTCACTCAGCTCCGCCATGACACCGGCAGCAGCTCCTCCTCACACAGCAGCTCCCACTACCCCTTAGTCCCCACCCACTCCTGCTCTCGCGGCCAATGAGCGCGGCTTGCTGGGCGCATGCGCCAAAGGCAAGACGCGCGAGAACGGCAGTTGGACTCAGCCTGCCGCCTGGTGCTCCGCCCTCTGCCCCACGCTCAGCGAGCGCCAATAAAAAGCTCTCCTGGCATAATCGATGGTCGAAAGGACCAATCCCGTTCTTCCGGGGCGGGCGCGCCTGTGGAGGCGACCGGAGGGCGGGCAGTTGCGGCTCCTCCGGTTCAAGGACTCGACAAGAGTGCCTTACGTGAAGAGCAGGAGCCGCGGGTAGTCTAAACGCATGAATTACTGAAACTTTGTCAGGGACTCGTCCAGTCGGAAAGCAGACGGGCACTTGTCTTCTTGGCATTTGAAAAGCGGTAGCCAATGAGGCTGACTTTGAGAGATGTGAGTGATAACTCCGCCAACCAATGAGGATTGCTGTCCCGCCTTAGGCAACCCATCCTAACTCCGCCTCCAGCCATTTTTTTTTTGTGCATGCAGCTTAATAACTCGTCCTGTTTTGTTTACTAAAACGGAAAAAAGCTGAGTGACACTCAAGGTCTCACGCCTACTGCTGACAGGCCGGGAGTGAACAAAAGTCCCCGGCCCACCGAGGCACCACCCCAGGGCAAGTCGATCCTCCCCCCATTGGCCAGTCCTAGTGATTGACATCCTCCTGGCCAATGGCTTTCAGGTCTGGAGGGCGCGTTTCCCACAACTGGCCTATGGGAATCTGTGTCGGCCCAGCCAATGCGGGAAGTTTGAAACTCCTGGCTTTGGGAGTTGTTTCTCGAGCCCAGAGGTCGAGCTGGGGCCCGGTAAGAGATGCCACTAGGTTAGTGGGTGAACCCGAGGCTTCCCGCAGACCTGATTGCGCGTTAGAAGGCTCTCCTCATTGTCCCCTCAGAGGCCTCCGGGCCTGCTGGAAACTGGGAGGATCGGGTGGGTGTGGGTGGGTCCCACGCGGTGGCGGTAGGCTCTGAGAGCCGCTCCTGACGGGCGTGCCTTCCTCTGCGTCTGCACAGCCGGGCTTCGTCCCCACCCCTAGTGGAGATGGGTTCTACTCAGAGCATCTCAGGCACTCCAGCGCGGCCTCTGCCACACAACAAGCATCTGGCCCGAGTGGCAGACCCTCGTTCACCTAGTGCGGGCATCCAGCGCACTCCTATTCAGGTTCGCCGGGCTGGGGTGGGGAATGTCGGGATTCCAGGGTGGGAGGGGGCGCTGCCTAGCTTCTTTCTGTGCCACTGCGACCTTACTTTCTGCACCTCCCCATCTTTTATGGTCTCTTTTTCAGTAGCTGACTTTCAGCTTTTTTTTTTTTTTTTCTTTTACTTACTTTTTTTTTTTTCTTCGGAGACAGGGTCTCACTGTGTAACACTGGCTAGCCTGGAACTCAACCATGTCGACCAGGCTGGCCTCAAACTCACAGAGATCCACCTGCCTCTGCCTTCCGAGTGCTGGGATTAAAGGTGTGTGTCACCACCACCACCACCACCGCCACCCAGCAACTTTTTTTTTTTAAGATTTATTTATTTATTACATATACAGTGTTCTGTCTGCTTGTATGCCTGCAGAAGAGAGTATCAGACCTCATTACAGATGGTTGTGAGCCATCTTGTGGGTGCCGGGAATTGAACTCAGGACCTCTGGAAGAGCAGCCGGTGCTCTTGACCATTGAGCCATCTCTCCAGCCCCTTTCTGTGTTCTTAATCCGCATGTGGCAGGCTGCATTTCCATGGGCATTAGCAGTTCTGGCTGGGAATATGGGGAGGAGATAAAGGTCAGGGCCCAGATTGTTCTAACTTACGGTCTGGACAGGTGGAGAGCTCTCCACAGCCAAGCCTGTCAACAGAAGAGCTGAGTTGTCCTAAACAAGCTCAAGACCCAGATCCTCGCTCTCCTACCCTTGGCATTGCTCGGACACCCATGAAGATCAGTGGTACAGGTGAGTGATGGACCCAGGGGAGGCTGATGAAACTGAACCTATCTAGGGTGGCATCGAGACCATTTTTGTTTTACTGGTCTTTGTTTATTTGCTTCTTTTTGTAGCTCTGGGGTTTGAACCAAAGGTGTTGAGTGTGCCAGGGACTCGAGCCTCCTCTTTTGAACTCCTCTCTATTTTACACACACCTGACATAGTTCATGTATGAAGGACAGAGGGCAACTTTAGGGAGTCAGTGCTCTCCTACCATGTAGCATCTGGGGATTCAATTCAGGTCATCAGGCTTGGCAACAGCTCTTTTATCAACTAAGCTGGACCTTTTTTTCTACACCCCCCACCCCAACAACACACATACACACACAGGTTTTCTCTGTGTAACAGCCCTAGTTGTCCTGGAACTCACTTTGTACACTAAGCTGGCCTCAAACTCAGATCCCTCTGCCTCTGCCTCCCAAGTACTGGGACCAAAGGTGTGTACTACCACCATCCAGCTTTTGTTTGTTTTGTTCTGTTTTAAGGCAAGGTCTGGAATTTGAGGCAGTCCTACTTTAGCATTGTAAGTGCTAGAACTGCAGGCATGTACTACCATGCTCAGCTCTCCCTAGCCCTCCTCCCTGTGTTCACACTCTACCATTGAGCCACACCCCTGGCTCTCGTCTCAGTCTTCTCTGTAGCTTGTTTTCTCCCACCTTGGTTTCAGTCTCCCCACTCCCAGTCTCCCCATCTGAGCATGAGTCCGATGATACTGGGTCTTTCCCTCCTTGGTTTATATCAGAGGGCCACAGCTCATTTCCCTTGTTTCCTCTAGACCCTCCGAGTTCACTGGTGAAAGAACTGAGTGAAGAATTTGAAACCGAAGCCTCCAAGTCCATTTACCCCACAGAGCTTGCTCTGCCCCAGCAAACACTTTTATCTTCTGAACTGGACCTGCCTTTGGATTCTCAGTTATCCCTTGAGGACCAGTTGCTGCCATGGAGCCAGATTGAACTCCCCTCCAAACAGGTGTTTACCAAGGAGGAGGCTAAGCAATCCACAGAACTCATAATTGCCAGCCAGAACTCAGACAAGCCCTCAAGAGATCCCGAGACTCCCCAGTCTTCAGGTACAAAATTGAAGATTAAGATGGAGGGAAGGCTGGGCAGTGGTGGCGCATGCCTTTAATCCCAGCACTGGGAAGGCAGAGGCTGGGGGGTCTCTGTGAATTCAAGGCCAGCCTGGTCTCCAGAGCGAGTGCTAGGATAGGCTCCAAAGCTACACAGAGAAACTCTGTCCCAGAAAAAAAAAAAAGATGGAGGGGAGAGAAGCTGAAATCATGTCCTGGGATAATGTAGGAAGAATAAGCCCCCAGTTCTGATCCTTACTTTAACAAAACCTTTCTTCTCCTAGGTTCTAAGCTCAATAGACGGAAAGCAAATAGCAAGGTACTAGGAAGATCTCCTCTCACCATCCTGCAGGACGACAACTCCCCTGGGGCCTTGACATTGCGACAGGTAAAGGAAGAGAAGGTGACAATTGTCACTAACAGTATCCATCATTATAGTGGGAGGCCCTTTTCCCCAGCTCCTACCTCTCCCTGGTGTCCGTCCCTCTGGCCCCTCGGCTCATATACCACCTTTTGCAGGGTAAGCGGCCTTCTCCGCTTAGTGAAAATGGTAAGGACCTAAAGGAAGGAGTCATTCTTGGAACTGGAAGACTTCTGAAAACTGGAGGAGGAGGAGGAGGAGGAGCATGGGAGCAAAGCCAGGACCATGACAAGGAAAATCAGCATTTTGCTTTGATGGAGAGCTAGGTCCATTCTGGATTCACCCAGAGCCTGGTGATAGTCTTGTTCTTCACCTCTTCCCAAAGGGCACTGAGGAAAATCTTGTTTTCTGGTTCCTCCCAGGCTGCCAACTCTGGGTTTTGGACATTTGTTTTGTTTTGCTTTGTTTTGTGTGTTTCTTGTATATTAAAGGAGATGGTTTTAAGTGATACTTTGAGAAATTAGACAGCTGCACTGGGTCTTCTGTGTTTAGAAGAACAGCCTGGGGGTCTCTGCTGCCACTTCTGAGCCTCTTCCCTGTATCTTAAGTTTGGATGCTCTCCCCAAGGCTCTGCACTTGGCACCTCTCTCTTTCCCTTTTGTTTGGGCTTAGCTATTTCTTACCTGCTTTGGTAGTTTTCAGGTCCCTCTCACCCTGACTTTTACTCAGCTGCTGCCTATGCACTCAACATTAGTTCCCTTAAAATAAAATTTATGATCTATCCCTAAAGCTCTTCCTCATTACCTATTCCCTATCCTTGTGGCTAGGAAGGACCATTACCCACCTGTCTGCCTGAACATTAATCCTGGTCTTGGTCATTGTATTGAATTCTTCTGTTCAGAATGACCCATCTATGAGAATGGTCTCTAGATCTTAGTGATTCTATGTTTTTAATCTCTTCTGTCTTGTCATAGTGTGTGTGTGTGTGTGTGTTGCTGAAGATTGACCCAGAGCTTTGCTCATGTTAGGCAAATACTCTATTACTGAGTTTCACACCTAGCCCCAGTCCTGTCAGCCTTACCACTTGCCTCTTGTCAGTCTCTCTTTCTATCCCACCAGCCTAACTGTTGGTAGAGCAGTTTTCCTGACAAGCTTAATGATCATGGTAATACCCCACTTGAAACTCTTTAATGGCTTCCAAGGCCCTTTATCATGCAACTCCTATGCAGGCATGCATACATTATTGTTGTCTGTAGCAAGCTGTGTGTGCTCCCGGCCACTCAGCCTCCCCGTGAAACCTCAGCGTCTGACTTGATCCTTCTTCCTGTGCACAGTCTAGCTAGTACCTAGGCTTTATCTCCCACCTATGATATCTTATTGCCCATAACGGGGCCTAGGTCTTCTTGTAGCACAAAGGGTGGAAGCTAGCATCACAGGATGCTGCATTTTATTAGGTAATAATAGAGGGGGCAGGGATAGAAAAGGAGAAAGTCTGAAGGGGCCAGGAGACTAGTAGTGACATCCATAACCATGAGCCAGCACCCTGGCCATTCCAGGTCTGGACAAAGGCTACTGTTAGCTCAAGATGACTTTAGGGGCTGAGAGGGTCTGTTCTCGTTGGACTATGGAAAGGGGAGGCCATGGGAGGAAATGGGGCAGTTCTTTGCCCTTGTGTCCCTGATGCTTCCAAAGGCACACTCCCATAATCCTATGGCTCTCAAATGGGAGTTTACTGGGAATGGCCCTGGGGAGTAGAAGACTGACCCTAAGGAGATGGGGCATAGAAGGAAGCAGCTGAGAATCTTCATGGCTTTCTACCTCTCTTCCTCTAGACTCCTTAGTTCCAGATTTTGAGGAAGCTGTCCCAGGAACCAGTGGCCACAGCCATGCCATCAGCTGTGACCCCGAGGCAGCTGACTCTGTTGTCATGGCCAGAGAGTATGCCTGAGAAAGAGAGGAAAAAGTCAGCCTGCTTTCTCAGGTTTGTGAGGGCCCATGATGGACAGAAGCCCCAGCTTGGGGAGGTTAAACTCTGCCCTGATGGAGACTAAGGAACTGAAGGAGGATTAGCCCTGAGGAGAGGGATTTCTCATCAGGCCAGTTCCTCTGTCCAGAACTTGAGTCGCTGGTGGGGCAAGGGTAAACTGGTTAGCGATGTTAGTGTGTTGTGAGGAAGGCCAGGGTCACTTTGATGGGCCTGAGGAAGGGGCCCTTTGTTTCTAGGGGTTTTTTTTTTTGTTTGCTTGTTTTAAAAAAAAAAAAAAAAAACAAGGCCCAGAAGACTAACAAGTATAGGTAAACTCAATTAATTGAATAAGATTTGGAGCCTGATTGTGGGGCATGTGTTATTCTCATTCAGCTTTTGGTCTCTCCTGATAGAAGCCAGACTGTTTTTCCACTCTATGCCAATCCCAAACTAGGCCCAGAACCCTTGCTTTAGTCTCATTCACACCTCTCTGAGGCTGTTCCTTAAGTGTGTGGCCCTGAATCCTCAGGTACCCAGAGGACTGAGCATTTAAGATAGACTGCTTTGGAGTGACCAGAAGGAGTAGGCATGGCACTGGGCAGAGGAAGGGCTGCTTAGAGCACTTTGTGTTTGGGAAATATGATCTTAGTTTCAGAAGCAAAAGGTATAGGTTTTCCAAGGCTTGGAGTTAGGCAACAATTAGGAAACAGCAGTAAGAAACTGGGAGGGAAGGGAGGAGGACTGGAAAGAATGGGGCAGGCCCTTACCCACACGCTCGCACTTCATAGAGTCCCAGACATTGCAGTTGAAGTCATCGTAGCCTGCGAAGAGCAGGCGACCACTGAGTGAGAAGGCTACCGATGTGATGCCGCAGATGATGCTCTCATGGGAATAGGCAGTCAGTTCCTGATCTGCCCTCAGGTCAAACAGGCGGCAGGAGGCATCATCTGAGCCAGTGCAGATGGCCTCTCCATTAGGAAAGAACTGAGAATACAGGTAAGAAGCTGTCAGGACTCAGACCTAGGGCAGCCTTGCTGTCCTGCCTGCTTCCTGGTTCCCACAGGGAGTGTAAGCCACTTCTCTCAGCCTCTCAGCCTGTCTGTTTCTTGGAAGAGTGAGGCACCCAGCTGCAGCATCGCTGTTCACTGCCTTGTCCTTGTGGCTCCCACTGCCCCTGACTCCAGCACTGTAGGCAGGCGCCATTGCCATGTGGCAGACAAGAGCACCAAGGCTTCCCAGGAACACACAACTAAAAGATCAGGCTTCTGTGATTACCCTATGGACTAGATCAGAGTGTATGAGAACAGCACGAGGTCCAAGCATATAACATGAAGAATAAGAGCTCTATTTGGAGGGAAATTACAGAAAACTGCTGTGTCCTTATCAAAATGGTATAATGTCATAGACCCCAGAAAAGTAGAAAAATGGTTCTAGTTAGAGACAAAAGAAGATATGGCAAGGATGTGCGTGTTTCTGGATTGGATTCTGGGTAGAAAAACATTGCCAGTAAGGACATATATAAGATAACTGGTTAAATTTGAGTATGAGCTGCAGTATTCTGTAAATGTTGTATTTCCTGGTATTACAAATTATACTAGGCATGGAGAGTTGGCTCAGGAGTTAAGAGCACTGGCTGCTCTTGCTGAGGACCAAGGTTCAGTTCCTGGCAGCCACATGGTGGCTCACAACCATCTGTAACTCCAGTTCCAGGGAACCCTGACACCTTAACCTCCAGAGGTGTCAGGCATGTATGTGGTGTGCAGACATATATGCAGACAAAACACTCATACACATAAAATAAAAGTTATACTGTGGGCTGGAGAGATGGCTCAGTGGTTAAGAGTACTGACTGCTCTTCCAGAGGTCCTGAGTTCAATTCCTGGCAACCACATGGTGGCTTACAACCACCTTGAATGAGATCTGGTACCCTCTGCTGGCATACAGGCAGAAAACTGTATACATAATAAATAAATAAAATCTTAAAAACAAACAAACAAAAAAAAAAAAACCTTATACTGTAGCTGGGAATAGCCACTTATACCTGTAATCTTAGTGCTCGGGAGGCTGAGGCAGGAGAATTGCCTCAAGTTCAAGGCTAGCCTATGTTCAAGGCTAGCCTATGTTCAAGGCTAGCCTAAGTCTGCCCAAAAGGGGGGGGGGGGAAAGTTGAGTCCCCAGCACTCAGAAGGCTGAGGCAGGGGACTGAAGCCCAAGGCCTACCTGAGTTATAAAGTGGGCTCTGGTCAAGCCCAGTCAACTCAGTGAGATTTTCTCAAAAGCTGAAAGAAGGGAGGGGAAATTCAGCTCATTAGGCTCAGCCTGGGCTTATTCTCTAGCATGCAAAAATAAAAAGTATGAGCTGGGCAGTGGTGGCACACGCCTTTAATTCTAGCACTTGGGAGGCAAAGGCTGACAGATCTCTGAGTGTGAGGCCAGCCTGGTCTACAGAGCAAATCCCAACCCAGCCAGAGCTATATAGTGAGGCCTTAGGGGGGATTTTTTTAAGGACTGGAAAGCTTAGCAGCTAACTAAGAGCACTTGCTCTTGCAGAGGACCCAAGTTCAGTTGGGTCCCAGCACCCACATACATGACAGCTCATAACTGACTCCAACAGTTCCAGGGAACCCAACACCCTCCTCTGCCCTCCAGGGAGTATTTAAGGGGCACAGAGCCATGGTATGTATAGTCTATTCTCAGGGTCCAGGAATGAGGACCTAGGGTGTAGCTTGCTGGTAAGGCACTTGTCTTGCATGTGTCTTGCATCTGAGTTGAACCTCCAACGCTACACACCAAACACACAGAACCTAAGTGTGAGGACCTAAGTATGAGTGAGTATGTTCATGTGTGTCTAGAGACAACAGTAAAGCAAGTGTGGCAGAATGTTAACAGTGAGTCTGGGTGAAACAGACATGGCATTTCTTGTCATTGGTTTTGAAACTATCCTATAAAGGTAAGATTTACAAAAAAAAAAAAAAAAAAATAGTAAGGAAAGGGCTTAGGGGTGCCATGGAAGTGGGTCAGAGATGTGTATTGGGGTTTAAGATAGTTCCTGAAGGACTCACATGAAGGGACACTCACACAAATAGCATTGATGTCTGACTCATGGCCAGTGAAGGTCTGGCGGCAGGTCCCTTCCCTCACATCCCAGAGCTTTGCGCTGGCATCACAAGCCCCCGAAATGAAGAGTTTGTAGTCTGGAGACACGGCTAGGCTCATGCAGTCACCAGTGTGTCCCACAAACACCGTCTTCTGCTGCCCCGTCTCAATGTCCCACAAGGCACTGCAAGAAGAAAAGGAGCCCATCATAGAGAAATGTCAGTTGCCCAGGACAGGATGACCTTCCAATCCTCAGCACCCATGGCATTCCACCCTTACCACGTGGTGTCCCCAGAGCTGGTCACAATGTTGTTGTCATCCAGGAAGCGACAACAGGAGAGATAACCTGGAGGTGGTTAGAAGGACAATGTCCTGGCACAGGGTCACAAATAGCCAGGGGCCTGGGCTTCATGACCCCTACATAGGAAAAGAGGCTTCTCACCTGTGTGAGCAGAGAGTTCCCGGCTGACCTTAACGTTGCCCTCACGGGATTTGAGACTGTAGATGGAACACATGTTGTCCAGCCCCCCACATGCCACAAAGTTCCCTGAGGGTGCATAGGCACAGGTCATGACCCAGGAGGAGCGCAGTGGGATGGCATGCACCTGCAGAGGGTAGATTTGGGATAGGTGGGACTAGAGCTTCAGGTGGAAAGGGCAGAGATTAGTCATGACAGCCCTGGGAAGGATGAAGGGTCCTTCCTGGAGGACAGTCAGTAGAAAGGGCTGGTACCTTGTTGGTGGTGTAAGTGTCCCAGACGATCAGCTTCCCATCCTGTGAGGCACTTACCAGCAGCCTGCAGAAAGGGCTCCTGTGTCATCCATACCTCTTTTCCCTGCCCCCCTCCCTTGCAGACCCTCTGGATCCTCACTTAGAGTCAGTGGCCCAGTGCATGGCATAGATCTTGGCCAGGTGTCCCCTTAGTGTCCTCCGTGTCCGCATCTGGACTCGTCCCACCACCTCTAGGCCAGACACAAGCTGCAGAGAAAGGAGTATTGAGTTTCACATTCACATGTCTCTCCAGGTCCTGCTCTGTACAAGCTCCTGGCTGGGGACCAGACCCTTGAGCAGGTTCCCCCAACACTAGGGAAAGAGGGCCCCAGCCTATGGTGACTGGGCCTCCTGTGGTAGACAGGTGCTGGAATAGCTTTGTGGCAAGCTGCTAACCAGTAGAGGTGAGGAGGAGTCGCCGCTACTATGGAGATGTTCCTGCCTTGATCGATCTCAAGTTGCTGCTGTCACTGAACATTAACTTGGGGAGAGACGCACAGGTGGTATCAGACTGGCAGATGCCTGTCTTCACACACCAGTGGCACACAGCTGACATCCATGAGTTCCAAGGCATTGCCATCACCTGGGACTGCCCCTGTCCTCCACTCCTTCAGCCACAACCAGCCCCCCAGCTGCTAAGCCTCTAGAGTCCACAGACTTGCTCCGTCAACTTCAGCAAATCACATCTTTCCCTGAGCCTATTACCTTACAGAGTTGCCATGGGAATCATATAGAATTATGTATTTAAGCATCTAGCCCCATGCCTTTCTCATGCTCTTATGAATGAACATGTTTAATACAATTGATTCTATTTTTCCCCTCTTAGTACTGGGAATTGAACCTAGGGCCTCAGGTATGCTAGCCCAGAAGTCTACTGCTGAAATATATCCCCAGACCCTTCTAACTTTTTTAATATAATATTTTTATTAACTTTTATAATTTCATAAACACATGCAATGCATTTTGATCATATTCACCCCTACTTCTAGCTCCTCTCAGATCTACCCTTCACCTCCTACCCCCATCCAGCTTCATATCTTCTTTCTAAAATTTTTTCCTAGCTCAATTTTTTACTTTTTATTTTGAGACAGGCTGGTCTTAAAACCACTCTGCGGCCCAGGCATGTCTTGAATTTTCAATCGTGCCTCGACTTTCCATGTAGCTGGAGTTCAAGCCTGGGCCACCTGACATGGCTCAGTACTTATTGTCAGTTCCAAGAAACAGTATTATTTTGTGTATCACCAAGAAAGAAACAATAGGCTAACAAAGTATTATGTATTATCAGATGCATCTCGACTTTAGAAAAAATGAAGCATTTAGAATTGATGAAATGCAGTCTTAGACAACTGTCAACTCGCATCTGTGAGAAATCCTGCACACCCCCTCCATCTTTACTGTAAAGACCAAGGGACAAGACCAGTGTCTACATCTTCAGCATCCAATATAACGCCTGACCCAGAGCAGATCTTAATAGATGTTTGTTGAATTAATTCATGGATGTCTTTCCTCGCTCCAAGGACAGCATGTGCTGAAAGCTCAGGCAGCAGTATGCCCACTGAGTCCCCTCCCTTCCCCTCATGTCCTGCCTCAGAAGGGTAGAAAGTCTCACCTCAGCCAGGGTGATGTCCGCACAGGCTTTCCTGGCATCCTGCGGGGAAAGCAGGCATCAGGGAGGCTGTGGTAGGGAGGAGGGCACGCACATGCATCTCACACATGGGTGGGCACGGGGCTCTGCAGTGGGTGGTGGGCTCAAATGTGAGGTCCAAGTTTAAAGTCTCTGAACCCGTCTAGATCAGAGGTCTCTGAAGTGTCACCCAAGAGTGAACCCAGTTCCCCAGTCCCTCCCAGGCCACACTCCCACATCTTGAGTTGTGTTTTCCAGGGTCCCCAGGATGAGGGCTCTGGGGTTACAGCGATCTGCTTCTTGAGCTGCTCCGCTTCCTGCCTCAGCTGCTCCATCTCCCCCATGGTGCAGGTCGAGGGGTAGTTCTGACTCCTGCCAGGAACATGGAATAGGTGTTGGGGAGTTGCTATCAGACCATGTTCTGTCCATCCTACCCTATTCCTAAGAGGTGATGGGGGGGGGGCTCCCCTCCTCCTGGGCTTAGGTCCTGTGCATCAACCCCTGGACTGCCTGAGCCCTCCCTGTGGGCCCCCAATCCCAGAGGGCAGAGTCGGCCAGCTCCCTCTTACTTGGGCTCTAGCTGGACTTCTCCCAGGTTTCCGCTTCCCAGGCGCCTCTTGACTCTCTCAGCTGCGATGCCTGCCTGTCACCTGCCTCCCTCTGCTGCCAGAGGAGCTGGCCTGGCCTGGCCCCAACTGGGAGGGGGGAAACTGACAGGGAAGGGTAAGGCCAGAGACAACCACGTCAGGCAAATGAAATCAGCTGGCAGGGGTATGGGAGAGGCCAGGGAGGGAGGTGTGTGGCTTCCAGAGACTTGGGTCAGCCTGGAAGGCTGGGGAGCAGGTCTGTGAGCCAGAGAAGAGCAGCAACCCCCCCCATCCAGCCACAAGAAGGGGGGAATAGAGGGGTGCCTCCATGGTCAGTCTGCCAGCAGAGATAAGAGCATCAGGCCCACGGATCAGAGAAAAGCTGTGAGGATTACTGGTTGGGTTTGGGGCGCAGAACAAGAGACAAGGGCAGCCACAGCACCAGTGGCCCCCAGCCCTAGCCCTAACTTGTGCTCATGATCTTGGCAGTGCAGGTCTGTTCAGCAAACAGGCCAGGAGCCCAGACAGACGGGTGATAGATGACCCTGTTGTCAACACCCCAAACCATGTTCCCTCATCGAGGCCTGTGGGGGAAGAGGGTACAGGCAGACGCTGAGATTAGAAGGGGCTGATCTGGATAATCCTTTTTCTCGACAAGCCCCAACCAGCTGCCCCTGGGCCTGATCCTGGTTGGGGGAGTTAACAGGGATCCAGGGGGAAGCAGGGCCAATGTGTTCCTGCCTTGTGGGCAAAGAAAGGACTACATAGAGAATGGAGCCCTGTATCCTGCTCCTAGGCTGGGGGTCTGGCTTCACGCTTGCTCACATGTCCACATGACTCCTGGGGTCTTACTGGACTGTGAAGGTAGGAGCCAGAGGGATCAAGCTGCCCTCTCACCCATACTCAGGGAGAGATGACAGGGCTTAGCATTGGAGGCCCAAGGAGCAGCTGTGGTGGTGGTGATGGGGCCCATGGGTCTATTTGCATGAGGCAGCAGGTGGCTGAGATTTCCCTGACAAATCACAGGCTCTCATGGCTCCGCCTCTGGGAGGCCCAAAGACACCACCTGTCCCCTCCCACACCAGCCCTAGCCACCCCCACCTCCAGCTGTCAGAGAAGCTGGGGTACACCAGACCAGGCCCTGGCTGGGAACCTCCACGTTCTTTATTACACAGGTTGGGAGAGGATGGGGTGTCTCCTCTGTCTTCCTTACTAGAAGCAGTTAACCTTCAATCCCTGCCATGCCTTTCGGGGAGGCATAATGACCTTTGTCTGTCCTAGGGACCCTGCAGGTCCCTTCCCTCAGCTGGGGCCAGACCTGGCTTCCAGGCCTGGTGGGCCCTAGGCTAAGTCTGTGTAGTAAGCTTGAGTCCAGGGCTTGGTGGCCCTTGTAGGTCCCCAAATGGGCATGCTACTCTGTTCCCGATGTCACACAGGGCCTTCTTATTGATTCCTTCACAAGTTGAGTGGCCATATCCCTAAGAAGCTGGCTCAGCCGGTCACAGTTCCTCTCGGACCCGGAGTAGTTTCCCAGCTTTGTCTTGGGCCCGCTGAAGCTTGTGACTTGGGGGTTCTGGGGAAGGATCTCTGCTGAGGGTCTCTCCCTCTTCCTCTTCCTCCTCTTCCTCCTCCTCTTCCTCCTGCAGCAGCTCTTTGGCTTCTGTCCACTCCTGGGTTGGATAAAACTATAGTTCAGTCCTTTGCATCTGCCTTCTCTGGGCATCTCAGCCACCCAACAGCTTCACTGTGAGCCTCACCCCTGCACAACCTCCTTACCAGCTCCCTGTGCTCAGGTGCCCATGTGTGCCACAGGGCTAAGGCACAGCGCCGTCCCCGAGTCACAGCCCACACACCGTGGGGATTCTCACCACCAGAGCTGAAGGCCACGAGGCGCCCACATCGTGGACGAACCTGAGCCTGAGGGGCAGGGGAACACGGCATCAGAGTTCTTGTCCATCACTCCTCTCCTTAATTCAGGGACTAGCTTGGGGCAAATGAGAGACTGGCTTCCACTCAGGAAGAAAGAATGAAAGACTGAGGCTGGAGGAGATGGAAGCCAAAAAGGGCAGGTGCCTCCTGGAAGTTCCCTGTCCTGCAGCCTGACCTTTCGTGCCTGACCCCATCTGCTTGGAATGAAGTAATCTGAGGGCCCTAGAGCAGCAGCAGGTGGATGAAAGGTGGCAAGGACCTTAGATGCATTTCCACCCTAAGGAAATCCTAGACTGGACGTGAGCACATGGAAGGCAATTGCTCCTCTCTGTGTATGCCTTTAGTGTGAAGAGTAAGGCAGAATGCCTCTGTGTAACACAGGCTGGCCTGGAACCCCTGCCTCAACCTCCCTAACAATAGGATAGGTGTATACTACTATTCTTGCCCTTTTCTAACCCAGGTATAGAAGACTCCATGGTCAAGAAATACAAGAATAACAACAGCACCTAACATTCATTAACTGTTTATTAATACAAGGCACTGGCTCTTTTCTTTTCTTTTCTTGGTTTTTCCAAGACAGGGTTTCTCTGTGTAACAGCCCTGGCTATCTTGGAACTCACTTTGTAGACCAGGCTGGACTCAAACTCGTTGAGATCCACCCGCCTCTGCTTCCCAAGTGCTGGGATTAAAGGTGTGCACCACCACTGCCTTGCCTGGCTATCATTCTTTTAAGCATATTACATAAATTATAATATAAATATAATATATACTATATAGGGTCAGAGAGATGGCTCAGGGGATAAAGGTGCCTGCCACCAGGCCCAACAACCCAAATTCAATTCCAAGAACACACGGTGGGAGGAAAGAAGCAACTCCTACAAGTTGTCCTGTGCCCTCTACACAGCAGCTGTGTGCGGCAGGCACCCTCCCCGCCACCCACGCCTCGCACTGCACACACAGATGCACACATCTAAATAAATATTTTTTAGAAACTACTTATTGTAGTTCTGGGTAAAGTGCTTGCTGTGCACGTATAAGGATCCAAATTCAGACCCCCGGCACCCACACAGAAGCTAGATGGAGTATCGTGAGTCTGTAATCCCCACACTCCCGCGTCCAGAGGTGAGGGAGGGGCAGGAGGTGAGAATGACACCGGAAGTTGTGTTCCGATTACCCAGGTGCACCATGCCATGTGCACACACTTGCACTCCACACAGTACGAGTGTGCAAAGCCAGGCAAGGTAGCGCACGCCTTTAATCCCAGAATTTGAGAGGCTGAAACAGGCAGATCTCTGTGGTTCAAGGCCAGCCTGGTCTACATGTGAGTTCCGGGACAGCCAGGGCTACACAATGAGACCTTATCTCCAAAAACAAAAGTCAGTCACTTTTGGGGTGGTGCATGTCTATAATCTCAGCACCCAGAAGGCCACGGCAGGAGGATTGCTGTAAGTTCAAGAGCTGCCAGGGCTAGCTACATAATCAATTCAAGGCTAATCTGGGCTATGTAGCAAGACCCTGTTTATAATAATAATGATAATAATAATGTCAAAATAATAGGAACAGCCGGGCGTTGGTGGCGCACGCCTTTAATCCCAGCACTCGGGAGGCAGAGGCAGGAGGATCTCTGTGAGTTCGAGACCAGCCTGGTCTACAAGAGCTAGTTCCAGGACCGCTTCCAAAGCCACAGAGAAACCCTGTCTTGTTTTTATCACTTTTATTGGAGGTGGAGGGGAGTGGTGCAGCACGGTGTGGAGGTCAGAGGCCAGCTTGTGGGAACTGCTTCTCTCCCTCCACCATGTTGGGTCGGTGCTAGAGATCAGACCCAGGCTGTCAGGTTTAGGGTTAACACCTTTACCCCCTGCACCACCTTACTGGCCCATGTTTCATTTTCCTTTAGAAGGTATCTTGATCCGTTGTTCAGGCTGACCTTGAACTCCTAGGTTTAAGTGATCCTCCAGCCTCAGCTTCCTCAACAGCTGAGACTACAAGTGTGGATCCTGTACCTAGCTATGCTCAGCCACCCTTTGGAGGTAAGGCAAACCATGAAGGCAGGGTAGGGGCACTTAGAGATCTCCCGTGAGGCTCAGTCAACCTCTGCAGGAAGCCTTGAATTGGGTCCAGTGGCCAGCAGGACTAGAGAGGAAGGAGGGACAGGGTTAAAGTGGCCCCGGCCATTTCCCTGCATTTGCCTCTGGAGAGCTTCTGTTTTGAATGAATCCTGACCCCCCACAGCTGGGCCCTGCGCCCCACCCCACCCCCCTACCGTGACAGTGAGGGCATTGGGCTGTGTGAAGAACAGGTCGCCTCCCTTGAAGTCATCATTGAGGTAGAGGAGCCCACTGGAAAGTAGAGAAGACAGGAGGCAGTGAGCTCCCCGCCCAGACCCAGGCCCTGGCAGACAGCCTTTGGGCTCGTGTGCCTACCTGCCAGTCCTCAGAGAGGCTACCCACCTGTAGTCTCGATAGGTGTAGGCTGGGGGCTCCCGCCAGCAGTCACCAGTGTCAGGGTCCAGGACACAGTTGTCCGCATGTACCGGATGACTCAGGTCCATACGCTGCTCTTGCTCACCTAGGACATAAACAGGACATACATCAGGGTTCCCACTATGGGCCCCCTGGTGGGCCCATGCCCAGCTTCTGGGATGACAAATAAGCAGAGAAACTCCCTGTCCCTACTTAGGCCAGTAAGGGGACTTTTTGCAGTGAAGATGGAACATATACAGATGGGGTTCCCTGATGGTTACCTTCTATGGCACTTCGGCACACCAGGTGGGTGAAGGAAAGATGCAGTGGCCGTTCTGGGGAGAAGTAAGCCTGGGTCAAGGTCCGTACTCGCTCACTCACCTCCAGAAGCAATTTAGCACCTGGCTTGCTCACAGTCCCAGCCCGAGCCAGCTGCAGGCAGAGAGAGGCGTGGAAGATAGATCTAGCATTAGCTGGTGTCTCTTGACACTACCCTCCTATGTGGGTCTACCATCTGTCCAGTAGCCTAAATGCCTCCTTCCAGCAACTCCATGACAACACCAGAGCCCCAGGTCTCAGAATACACCCTTTCTCAATGATAGACCAAGAAGGCAGTGGTCTAGGTCCCCAGAGAATTTCTTCACAGAGCCCAGGCCCCAGTATCCAGCCTCCTGTCACAGCCCCTCCTCTCAAGTCTTAGGCATCAGACCAGCCTCTTCTTACCTGGGCAGCCTTGAGTACTGTGAGCCCCTCAAAGCGTTCATGAGGACTATGAGGGGAGCGGCGACCACGATAGCCAGACCTGGCTCCAGCCTCAGCTGCATCCTAAATAAGAAGGGCTTTACAGTGAGTCGTTCCCTGCACACCTCACTGCTACACAGCTACCAGGTCTCCTTCCCACCTTCTCAGTCCCTGGAGCTACCTAGGAACTCCCAGAATTCCCTTGAAAAATCCCTTTTTCCTGAGCTATGACCCTTTCCCAGAGAATGGCATTTGGCCTGGTTTTCTGGACTGTCATTCTCAAAAAAGCTCTGGAATGCTACTTCCCAGGGGGAGCACCCCACAGTGGGGATGAAGGGGCCTTGAGATGGTGAGAGCGGCTGAAGGAGAGACAGAGCTGGGGTCTGGGGCAGGAAGTACTGGGTCACCCTTCAATGGGGAGACAGGAGTCTTTCTGCAAGCAGGACTCTAACAGGAAGTCTGACAGGCAGGTCAGTTCTGGCGGGAAGCTTGAGGTGTCAAGACAACACTGACCTCCCCGCCCCCCATAGGCCTGTGATGGTGGATCCCATTACCCAGCTGCCTCCTGTGACTCACACTCCGGGGTTCTCCCCGTGTTTGGATGTCTGTATATGGGATTTTTCTTTTTCAGGGTTTCTTTTTTTTAATGAATTTTTTAAAAATTTAAATTTATTTATACAGTGTTCTGTCTGCATGTGTCCTTGCACACCAGAAGAGGGCACCAGATCTCATTACAGATGGCTGTGAGCCACCATGTGGTTGCTGGGAATTGAACCCAGGTCCTCTGGAAGAGCAGCCAGTGCTCTTAACCTCTGAGTCATCTCCCCAGCCCCAGGATTTATGTTTTAAGATAGCAAATAAATAGAAAA